GTGGTGACGCTAGGTGGTGATGTATGTGACATAAACGTGTACGCGACGTGAGCAGATCTGACCAGAGTTTTGCGTCTTGGGCAGTGTAGACGGAAACACTACGGCGGAGCGTGTTCAACTTTTCCACTCTGGGGGTTGTTTCAGATTTTTACGTTTTTAAGCCCCAAAAACGACATCACCGTCTAAACGAAAGGCACTTCTGATCAAATATTTTGTCATTTTTACCCGCAAGCGTTCTTGTGTAAACAGGCCCTTCGCAACGAAACACACTAGCTGTCAATCAAACCAACCTCGGGGAATGAAGGCGTCTGATTAGTCCGTTATTTATGTTCATATCTTGATTTAGGGACAAAATAGCAAAATTAAAAATCCAGGATCAAGTAGAGCGGGTTAATACGAACATTTTAAGACAAACATGATGAGGCTTACAGCAGCAATTACAGAGTGAGGGGCCACAAGATCCCAATGTAAATCAATTGGAGCCAGAGTCAGAAGGACCTGGTCAAGCAGAAGTAAACAGCAAGGCCAAAAATTCAAGTTAATGTACTGTAGTTTATGAAACTTTTTACCTTTTTTCTGGACCATTTTTGGTTCTAAAGTTACATATGTTTTAAACAGACCATGTATGAAACATGGAACAAAAATTATTTCGAAAATTTCAAAGACCTGCAAATCATGTAAATAAACTGATGTATTTCATCATATCTTGTGTTATTCAATCTTTGAACTGTTGAAGGTACATGATTAAAAAAAAAAAAATGTATTTAAAATGATAAAAATTTGCTTGGAAGGACTGACATATTTTATAGAAATAGTTTCCTTTCATTTTGAAGTAATATTCAAGTATTCGGAACAAAAAAGCGACAAATTATACAAAATCCTGCACCTTCTACTTGTTTGCACAATTTTCCCTCCGTTACTTTTCCCTCTGTTACCATGACCTTTCTTAATAAAAAATCTCATTACTCAAAAAGTAAGAGGTTTTTCAACCTAATCTTGTACCATATGGTAGAAAACTATATGAAGCAAATATTCAAACCAGTTTGTTAAGGATATGTAAGTGAGAACCAAGAGTTATCACTGTTTGTATTTATTGCCCAAAAAGTGCTGCATATTTCATTCCCTCCGTTACCGACATGAGTTTTAAAATTTTTTGTCAACAACTTGAAAGAATATCACAGGTTTAACTTGACCCTGTTGGAGTGTAACTCTTTCCTACATTCTGACACTTTACTTATTTCAATAGTCCCTCTAGTTTCTGAATAAGAGACATTTGAATGTAAAAAATCTGCCCGTTTCCCTCCGTTACCACTTGACCGGACCCAGCTGTAAGAGCCTCTTGGCGAACTTCCTAGTTGGAAGGCAGTGGCTAGCGCATTACTCATGTCCATTCATATATATTATGATGCGGTAATACAGGCAGTGTTCCTTTGTGTTTTTTAAAATACACCTATACACCTTCACTAGATTTATTTGAATGATTTCAGGTCTGGACTTGCCAATCTCTACTGAACAAAAAGGTAAAAAGGAGCAGTTATTGGTGCACTATTAAAAGGTACTACCCTTTTCGGTTGGGGTCTGTCACCATTTGTTTCATTGCTCTACCAGGAATGTTCCACAGTATGACATTAAACAAATTTACTTTACACTTATTCAATTACAGGTGGTTTTATTGCTCAAAAATACCCAAAACACCAGGCATTCTGACTGTGAGCGGGGTCACCTCTCCACAGACCTGACCTGTAACTTCTCCATGATGATAGAAACAAACAACAGACAAAGCAAGCAAGTAGTTCCATGCAGAAAAACAAAGCATTTCGAGCTATGGAGATGCAGACAGGCTAATAATAAAGAGATTACTCAAACAAAACACAACTCCAGGTGTGTTTTTGATGAAGAAACAGCGTTATAACATGGCCTAAAACTCACAAGAGTTCATTTTGCGTAATATAAGACATTTAAACATGCACCAGCATCACCCGATTCGATGATCCAAACATCTCACACAGAGAGTCTAATGAAAGGTGCAAGACAATAGGTTTTGGCTCCAAACTGGGACGCAAATGTGACTGAAATGGCGTGAGTCATTGGTTAGCAGTTCTATATTTGTTCGGAATTGTTCAAATAATAAATGATACGAGAGGGAACAGAACATACACAAAGACCGGAGGGATTAATGGACGTAATCAGCTTAGAACAGGTGCCTGATTTTATTAGTCACAACACATTATCGTCAATAGAGTTTTTTCGCTAATTGGATTTTTTGAACAGATTGATCTGATTTGAAAATGAATCACGAAGCAACAGTCTCCACGTGTGCTCTTAGATGTTGTTCAAAAGGTCCTATATTACGCAACATTGACTCTTGTGAGCTTTAATCCATGTTATAATGTTGTTACCTCCTCAAAAACAGACCTGGAGTTGTGTTTTTTTTTTTCATTCACACAAGCTCAAATGTTCTGTTCCACCTTTTGATGTCATCTAGTGGTAGTTTTCAAGTTAACAGCTCCTTTTACCTTCTGTTGTTGTGTTTAAGTTCCGTATTTGTCAGACTATAAGTCGCACCAGCCAAAAAATGAGTAATGAAGAAGAAAAAAACATAAGTTGCACCGAACTATACATCACACTTTTTGAGCGAAATTTATTATTGAAAGGCAAATTATAGTAATAACATCAGAGACAAAGAACTGACATTTTATCTTGAAGGTCAAGTTATAATAATAAAAGAATAGAGAACAACAGACTGTTAACGTCACATATGAACAGAACAAGTTTACCAAACTCTCCATCTCACTCCAAATCACTAAATCCATTCAATTCTTCATCCTCGGTGTCACTTCTGAGCAACTCCGTGACCTCCGGGGGTAAACATAGCGCCGCTTCCTCTTCTGTGTCGCTGTCGTCAGACTCAGCATCAGTTCCAGTTAGAATTATTCCGGCCTTTCTGAATCCCGACAGGATGATTTCAGTGTCACTGAAGTCCAGGCTTTGTCCATCCATCCAGTGACTTCCAGGAAAGTTTCATGATGCATCCTCCCAGTGTCACAAGTTTCTCTCACTCCAAACTTTCTTTCTGCTGCTCCATTACCGTTTTTGACTGAATATTTTGGTACTTGCAAAATATGATTTTCTTTGTGGGGGCATTTGTGTTCAATCTTAGTCACCTTTATAAGTTTGTATATTGTGTAAATTTTCAGTGGTGCAGAAGTAACGGTGCGATCGACTGACATGATACAGACAGAACAGAGGCTCTTTCTGCAGGAGACATGCGCAGTAGAGTGAAGTGACAGTGGTACAGGAGGAACAGGAGCAGCAGATACTAGTGAAATATGCAGCTGAAAACAGTAACTGAGCAGAAGAAAGAAAGTTTAGAGTGAGTGAGAAAAGCGGAGGATACTCTTAACTGCAATGAAGAAAACAAAAAAGCTAATCGCTGGCTAAAAGCTAGATTTAGCTAGCGTTGGCAGAAGTGATAGCCTGTTTCATCAGTCGATTTCACTTTGTGGAAACCGTCTGACCTCGCAGCATTAGGATTTGTTCGCTCGACGGTAGGCGGGTACGTTTTTTATTTAAGCAATCGCTGCTATTTGGTCGTGACCTATGTAATGCGCCAAATCCCGTAGGAAGAAGGACGATAACGTTTTTCCCCTTGATAAAATTCACCAAACATTGTCTTTGTTCTGGCTTTAAATCCTCGATCTCAAGCATCGTTGCCAACATAGAATGTCTGGCTTTTCGCTGATTGGCTGGTGCCCGAACTCGCACTTCCAGGGTTTATGCGGACTGTCTAAAGCAGGGGTGTCAAACTCATTTTGGTCCGGGGGCCGTATCCAACCTACTTTAATCCCAAAGGGGCCGGATCAGAAAACTCATGGCATATAAACCCCAAAAATAACAATAAGTTCAAATATTTGTGCAGAGAAACACAAATCTATTACAGAAATCTTTTTTAATTGATGAACTCTTTCTTTTACAAAATATTATAATATTATGAACAACCTGAAATTTTAAGAAAAATTCAATTTCAACACAATGTTTTAACATGAACTTGTATGTAAACAGGAATAAGAATAAGAAAATCCTGCACTCGGCTCCACTTTTCTCATGTTGGACATTTTTCTGATGAAGGTGTCACGGTCAACAGTCAAAACGATCGTCCTTTAAGAGCGTTTGGAAAGAGACAAGTCTTCATTTGTGCTGCTCTGGTGGGAGGGGCCACGTACAGAGACGCTGGAGACGCTGCTGTGATAAACACCACAGAAAATTAACAATATTTTAATAGAAAATATAATTTAAATATTTTGGTAGAAAATCACCCAAGGGCCACATTAAAGGTCTTGGAGTTCCGGATCTGGCCCCCGGGCCTTATGTTTGACACCTGTGGTCTAAACTATTCCGATTCCTGATCTAGTTGCTGGAGAGAAGTGAAATTGAGCGGAGGCATTAGGTGGCACCAGCCTGGTTACAGAAGTGACTCCAAAGATGAAGAATTGAATGGATTTAGTGATTTGGAGTGAGATGGAGAGTTTGTTAAACTTGTTCTGTTCTGTTGTTTCTGCTATAGTTTATCTGAAGAAGTGTTCATATGTGACGTTAACAGCCTGTTGTTCTCTGTTCTTTTATTATTATAACTTGACCTTCAAGATAAAATGTCAGTTCTTTGTCTCTGATTTTATAAAATACATTTCCCGACTTATAGTCCGGTGTGAGTTATATGTTTTTTTCTTCTTCATTACGCATTTTTTGGCTGGTGCGACTTATACTCCAGAGTGTCTTATAGTCCAGAAAATAACGCAAAAGGTAATTAATGTACAATTGCTGTGTAAATGTTTGGACAAGTAGTCTGACAGTTAACTGAGAGCTAAAGCCTGGATTTAGGACAGACGTTCCGCATATATACTCATGGATTTATGGTCTTGCATTCATAAACAGGAGATGTTCGTTGACCTCTGCACACTCAAAGTAGAGTAGTAGACTGGATTAATGAGTGACACGTTTACCAAAGTTGGGGTCAGCCGTCAGAAGAGCAGAGAAACAGCCCTCGAACCCTCCCAGCGTCTCGTCACTGCGCCATTTCACGTACTGCAAAATAAAAACAGATATCAGGCTCCAAATTTCTCCTCGTTGTTTTGAATACTTTCAGTCAGCATTTGACATTTTCTAGTCAGGGCCACATTCTGCGGAGATATCGATTCAGCCAGAGCATCTGATATTTATTTATTTGTTGTGACACAGTGAAGAGTTGTGCCTCTACTACTCATATGACGTCACAAAACAGGAAGACGTTTGGAAACATGCGGATGACGACTTCCTTTGGCGAAAGTAACTCTGACAAAATCTGAGAAAACTGAAAAAATGGCCCAGTTTTGTTCATCTAAATGCCATTGTATTCGTTCTTTTTTCCTATTATAAATTGCCAAAATCCAGCGTTGTGCATGAACGAGTTCAAATGAACGCGTTCATTGAACACGTTCATTTTTCAGTGAACTTTGAAATGAACGCAACACTTTTGTAAATCAAGAACTTGAACGTGAATTTGTTCAAATTATGTGTGATGAACGACGTACGTGGTTCAGTCCTGGTTTAGACCTGGTTTATTCCTGGTTTAGACCTGGTTCAGTCCTGGTTCAGTTCTGGTTTAGTCCTGGTTTAGACCTGGTTTAGACCTGGTTTAGTCCTGGTTCAGTTCTGGTTTAGTCCTGGTTCAGTTCTGGTATAGACCTGGTTTAGTCCTGATTTAGACCTGGTTCAGTTCTGGTTTAGTCCTGGTTTGGACCTGGTTCAGTCCTGGTTCAGTCCTGGTTTAGACCTGGTTCAGTTCTGGTTTAGTCCTGGTTTAGACCTGGTTTAGTCCTGGTTTAGTCTGGTTCAGTCCTGGTTCAGTCCATACGGCGCAAAAGTTCAGCATCTTAACAGTTCTTTTGGTGAGAGTAAATTAAAAGTGCTGCAATAGTCGTGTAATGTTTTACATTTTAAATACAGTAATATTGTAATGTAACAAATGACTTAGAAATGACAGTAACAAGTCATAAATAACACATTACAGTGTTAAAGTCACTTGTCCAACAGTGTATCTTGTAAAGTTGTTGTAAACTAGAAGTCAGTTTGAAAAATAAATGCAGCCTTTCATTTACAGATCTCATCTAAATATAAAATGAACTGAATTTTGAACTAGTTCAAAATTAAAATTGTGAACTATGAACGTGAACTATTCACTTTGAACAAGTGTGAACTGAACTTTGATCTAGTTCATGAAAGTGTGAACTTGCACAACACTGCCAAAATCCATGCAAGCCCTAAAATGAAGCGTTCTCCGGCATTTTTATTTTGCAAAAGGAGGACAACTGGAGGAAAAACATTGGAGACTCCTGCTCTAATTGATACTGTACTTGAATAAGCCTATAAAATGTTCTTTGCAGTACATTTTTCAAGGATAAAAAGCTTTTATTTTGGTATAAATATAATTGAAAATATAATAGAGAATAAACTAGTAAACCTTTTATAATTATTTTTATATAATATGGGAAAACAGCATACGATACAGGGGGTCAAGACAAAAAGACAAGGATCCGTGTTTAAAGGTGCATTGCGTAACTTTTCTGGTGGGGGGTCCGACAAATACAGCACTTTTCTCCATGGAGATGTTATTGCTTTGTCTGGAATGTTTCACAGCATGGCATTAAACCTTTCTATCTTCATGGAGTCCAAACCAGACCAAGTTACAGGTCAGATCTGTGGAGAGGCGACCCCGCTCACAGTCAGAACATCTGTTTTTTAAGGTATTTTTGAGCTATAAAACACCTGTAATTGAATGAATGTAAGGTAGAGCTGTTTAATGTCACACTGTGGAACATTCCAGGCAGTGCAATGACATCTCCACAGAAACAAGCAGGTGACGGAGCCTCCACCAGAAACGTTACACAGTGCACCTTTAAATTAAGAAAATTTGACTTTGAGTAGATTCAACTTGACAAGTAAAGTGATGTACCAATGGAATAAGTGTGTTTTACTTAATTTGTGCAATATTACATTTTGTTTCTTATTTTAAGTACAAAGAGTTGGCATTTTTCTTATCTTAAGTGCAGCAAGACGTATTTTCACATTTTAACTACAAATGTTCCATTGGCAGATCATTTTATTTGTCAACTGAAATTTCATCAAATCATGATCAAACTTTCTTAATTCAAGTCGTCTTTAAGGTGCATTGTGTAACTTTTCTGGTGGAGGGTCTGTCAAATTATTTTCTCCAGAAAGATGTTTTTGCTTTGCCTGGAATATTTCACAATATGGCATTAAACATTTTTATCTTCATGGAGACCAAACCAGACCAAGTTATAGGTCAGATCTGCAGAAGGGCGACCCCGCTCAGTCTCTCTCTCTCTCTTCTTTCTTTTCCTTCTTTTTAGCTTTAAAAACCACGTGGAATTGAATAAATGTAAGGTAGAGATGTTTAATGTCAGACTGTGGAACATTCCAGGCAGAGCAATGACATCTCCATAGGAACAAGCAGGTGATGGACCCCCAAAGCCGAGAAGTTACACCTTTAATTCAAGCAACAGTAAGATTTTATTCCTTATTTTAAGTGAAAAGAGTTGTTGTTTTTCTTATCTTAAGTGTAGCCAGATGTATTTTCATATTTTAAGCACAAAAAGTCTTGTTCCACTGGCAGATAATTTTACGTCAAGTGAAATTTACTCAAATCATGATAAAACTTTCTTAATTCAAGTCGTCTTAAATCTTAACTTTTCTGGTGGAAGCTTTGTCTGGAATGTTTCACAGTATTAAACCATTCTACTATCATGGACACCAAACCTGACCAAGTTACAGGTCAGATCTGTGGAATAGCGATCCCGCTCACAGTCAGAATGTTTGTTTTTTATGGTATTTTTGTAATTGAAAAAATGTGGAAGATTCCAGGCAGAGCAATGACATCTCCATAGAAAGAAGAAGGTGACAGACACTCAACCTAAAAGTTACATGGTGCACCTTTAATTCCAGAAAGAGTAGAGTTTGTTTCTTATTTTAAGTGTTGTTTTTCTTAGTGTAGCCAGATGTATTTTCATATTTTAAGCACAAAAAGTCTTGTTCCACTGGCAGATCATTTTACTTGTCAAGTGAAATTTACTCAAATCATGATAAAACTTTCTTAAATCAAGTCGTCTTAAATCTTAAGTTTTCTGGCCGAGGCTTTGTCTAGAATGTTTCACAGCATGGCATTTGACCTTTCTATCTTCATGGAGACCAACTAGACCAAGTTACAGGTCAGATCTGTGGAGATGCAACTCCGCTCACAGTCAGAATGTTTGTTTTTCTAGATATTTTTGAGCTATAAAACCACATTTAATTGAATAAATGTAAAGTAGAGCTGTTTAACGTCATATTGTGGAACATTCGAAGCAAAGCAATAACATCTCCATAGAAAAAAGCAGGTGATGGGCCACTAAACCAAGAAGTTACACCTTTAATTCACACAACAGTAAGATTTTGTTTCTTATTTTACGTGCAAAGAGTTGCTTTTTTTCTTTTTTAATCTTAAAAGTAGCACAAAACATCTTGTTCCATTAGTGGATAATTTTACTTTTGAAAGTTGAATTTGAATCTTACTTGTCAAGTAAAATTCACTCAAAACTTTCTTAATCCAGGTCATCATAACTTTTTAGACTTTAGTTGTTGCAGAGCGGTGCAGCTGCAGCTCCAGGCGCAGGTTCAGGTTGGAACCAAAGTTTTTAAGGACTTTTGTTGGACTTTACCTGAGACAGAACAGCGTCATAGAGCTTGCAGGCCTCGTTACTGGTTGTGGACAGCGGGAGCCCCTCCGCTCTCCAAGCCTGAAGACAAAACGTAAAAGTTATCAGACCTTACGTAATGCGCACTGATTACCCCGTGACTACATGACTTGGAGTTCAAATATTAGACTACGTAGCCTTTGTCCACTGATCCCAACGTTCTTAAATGTTGTTATACGTCTGGAAAGAGCTTCAATTTTAATATATTTTAACAATAATTTACTGTGATCGTTTCATTCAAAAGATTAACCAGGTCAAGTGGAAGACGCAGCGCCACAGCAGCAGCAGCAGCAGCGTCTCTCTCGCAGTTATAAACAAACAAAGCCGAGAATGCAAGAAATTTATGTCGTAATTCTAGTTGTGCTGCACTTATAAAAGCTTCCTCCACTCACCTGACAGTCTCTGAAACTCGAAGCGTTCATGTCGCTGCAAAACGGGACGCAAAAACGCACGGGGCGAAAAAAACGCAGCAAAGACGCAACTTTTACTTCCCACAAAAGAATCTCTGAGTCATAAACCAATAATATGACGGGATTTTCCTCTAGCCCCGCCCTCAAAGGCAACCAGCCAATCAGGACTCGCATAATATCACGTAGTAAAATGTTATAAAGGAACAGTGTGTTGTATTCTAATCTTATCAGAGATTCACAAAAAAAAAAAAAAAAAAAAAAAAAAAAGATAAATACAGAGCGCTAGATGATTTAAAGACATATTCTTACTATATAGAGAGACAACACGATAATAATGGAGATTCAGTAGGCTACAGAAGCAGGTTAGTGTATAAGATAAGATTTGATTTGATGATGTATTTTTTTATTTTTTATTTATTTTTTTTCTTGGGTGTATGAAGTGGAACAGAGTTTACTGCTGCACTAAACTCATGAGTTCTGTTATTATTATTCAATTCAATTAAAAAAGTTTATTGTCAATTTTCATATGAAACACACGAAGAACTGAAATTGTGTTCCTCACTTCCAATTTTCTAAGTAAATAACAGAAGTGTCGATTTGCAGATCGTGACTTGGACTCGAGTCAAACTTGAGTCATTATTTTTAGGACTTGAGACTTGACTTGATAAAATGGACTAAGACTTGGGATTCGACTTGGACTTAAAGGTCAGTGACCTGGGACTTGCCTCGGACTTGATGCCTGTGACTTGACCAACCAATAATATGACAGGATTTTCCTCTAGCCCCGCCCTCTAAGGCAACCAGCCAATCAAGACTCACACAATGTCACGTAGTAAATTATTGTAAAGGAACAGTGTTTTATTCTAATCTTATCAGAGATTCACAAAAAAACAAACAAATTATATCTATATCTATATCTATATATATATATATATATATATATAGATATATATATACACACACACATATATATAGACAAATACAGAGTGCTAGATGATTTAAAGACATATTCTTTCTCCATAAAGAGACAATAAGAAAATAGGGTCAGTCCATTTACCCTATTTTGTCAAATTTTGATGAAACTTGGTATATATGGTAAATAATAGCCAGAAAACCCAAAATTTCAATAATCAGTTAAATAATCGGACCAACGGTTTCTGAGATATCACAATTTCAATTTTTTCACTTTTTTGCGTGGTCACCGAGTTTCAAATTGCATTTACTTAGCAACTTACTTATTTACTGGTCCAATATCAAAAGCCAAAGTATCTTTGGAAAAGGGGAAATTGTAAGGAATCCAAATCTGGCATTTATTTTTGCATATTTGGCATGTCTTAAAATGGGGGTAAGTCAATTTCTAGGTAAATTTGTGTGAAAATTTCTGGTGTCATTGAGCTCGGGCGTGTCCCTTATTGTCAATTTCAAGGTCAAAATAGGTCAAAAGGTATTTCATCTCAAAAGTACTCAAATGCAAAAATAAATGCTAGATTATTCTTTATGATTTGCCCTTTCCATACACACCTTGGGTTTTGATATGGGACCAGAAGTTGCTGAGTAAATGCAATTTGAAATTCGGCGACCATACAAAAAAGTGAAAAAATAAAATAAAATTGCGATATCTCAGCAACCATTACTCCGATCATGCTAAAGTGTGAGCTTTTTGCTTTCTTGGCTATAACTTACCCATACACCAATTTTCTTTGCAATTGGGCAATGTGAGTTTTCAAATTGCAATTTTTTGGGGCGAACTGAGGTGGAATGACCTTATAATGTAGTTTCCATAAAGTGAAACTGGCTGATGAATCAGGCCAAACAAAACTGTCAGCATTGTAACAAAATAATTTAGTAAAATATACCAAAAAATGCTCTTGGTGATACATTGATACTGTATCATCACATTAAACAATACGATATATCAGTTTCAATATTTTTGCACACCCCTAATTAGGAATTACGTTTAAAATCTTGTCTTGTCTCGTTCTTGTGAACCCAATCTTGTATCTTGTCTCATCTTGTGGAAATTGTGTCTCGTCTCATCCCTATGCAGTAGTGGAAGCCAGAAAACCAGAAAAATTACACAGTGCACCTTTAACTAAAGTAACAAAATCTTTTAAATGCATTTTTATTGTGTAGTATTTGTCGTTTTATTCCACCTTAGTTCAGATATGCATCCATTTTCTTCCATTTTTCCAGGGTCGGGTCGTCTAAACAGGGTCCCCCCAGACTTCCCTCACCCCGGACGCTTCCTCCAGCTCCTCCGGGTTCCTCGAGTTCAGGTGTTTGAAATAAAGAGCGGGTCAGATTTAAGAGAACTGCATTGATTTATTGCCTTTTGAGCATACATCCATAACCCCTACGCACTTAGCTACATGAAGCATTTACAATACACGTCATGTGACAGACCGTTTTAAAAATTAGGGTTCATTTTCTTTACATTTTATACAGTTTTGCACACGTTAATAAATATCAGTCATTTCAAACTTATTTCACACACTCTAAAACGACACCCCGTAAAATCATTTCTTAAAACATTTTTATTCACAGCTTAAACCAAGTCTTATGCACATGTAGCGTAGGGGGCGCCGACGAGAAGCACAGCAGTGTCCAAGTACATCTGGATTTTTAAAACGGTTTAAAATGTTTGATTGGATTAGACCAAACTATGCGCTTTCCTCTTTCGCCGTTTTGAAGGGACGCACCGATTTCAAGCTTTTTCAGGTTTCCAATATCGATTTTTTTGGTTTATTTCCTATTTTAAGCATCTGCCAAGACCAGTAACTTTTCTGAAGGAGGGTCCGAGATGTTATTGCTTTGTCTGGAATGTTCCGCAGTATGGCTTTAAACTGTTCTATCTTCACAGAGACCGAACCGGGCCAAGTTAGAGGTCAGATCTGTGGAGAGGCGACCAGAGGTGGGGTGGGACCAAGTCGTCGTTTTGCAAGTCTCAAGTCTTTGACCTCAAGTCCAAGTCAAGTCCCAAGTCAAATCTCGAGTCACTGGTCCATAAGTCCAAGTCAAGTCCAAGTCGTCTACTTTGAGCTTCAAGTCATTTCAAGTCTTTAAACCAAAGTACCAAATATATCTTAAATTTTTGCAATTTATCTGACTTTTAAGATCATTTGTACTTAAAAAATTATAGTATATTTATATTTGAGAGTTTCTACAACTCTTATATACTCTATAAGTACATTTTGTTTAATTTTTCCTTTTTAATTGTCTTGACAAGGTCTTAGTGTGAATCATTACGGTCAGAATAGAACAAATTCAGATTAAAAAGTGCGTCTCAAGTCTCTGACCTCAAGTCCGAGTCAAGTCCAAAGTCAAATACAGGTAAGTCCAAGTCGAGTCTCGAGTCACTGACCCATAAGTCCAAGTCAAGTCCAAGTCGTCTGCTTTGAGCTTCAAGTCATTTCAAGTCTTTAAACCAAAGTAACAAATATAAATAACTAGATTTTTGCAATTTATACGACTTTTAAGATAAATTGTACTTTAAAAAAAAAACATGGTATATTTATATATGAGTATTTAAGAGTTGTAGAAATGTAAATGTTTCCTTTTGAAATGTCTTGACAAGATCTTAGAGTGAATCATTACAATCAGAATAGAACGAATTCAGATTTAAAAGTGCTTCTCAAGTCACAGGCCTCAAGTCCAAGTCAAGTCCAAAATCATTGACCTTCAGTAACCTCGTCTTAAAACTCACTTTTATTCTTTGGCTTTTAACACCGCGTGAGTTGTGTGGTCCTCTGTGTCTTTCATTTATTTTGTTTATTTTATTATTTATTTTTGTGTATTTTATTGGTTTTATTTATTTATTGCTATTCTATGATTTTGCTCTTATTTTATTTAACTGGTTTTATTATTTTCAGACTAGTATGATTAAATCTTAATGTTTATTTTATTATTTTATTATTGTTGTTATTATTATGTGTTTGTGCAGCACTTTGGAAACTGTTTGTTTGTGAAATGTGCTATAGAAATAAAATGGATTGGATTCAAGTCCATGTTGAGTCCCGAGTCTTAGTCCATTTTGTCAAGTCAAGTCTCGAGTTAAAAAAATAGTGACTCAAGTCTGACTCGAGTCCAAGTCACGACTTGCAAGACCCCACCTCTGCTGCTCAGTCAGAATTCCTGCTTTTCCAGGTATTTTTGAGTTATGAAACAACCTGTAATTGCATAAATGTAAGGTGGAGATGTTAAATGTCATACTGTGGAACATTCCAGGCAAAGCAATGAACAAATATATCCATAGAAACAAGCAGGTGAGGGATCCCCAACCAAAAAGTTACACAGTGTAGCTTTAAAGTAACAACAAAACTGCTTTGGGAAAAAAAATGTAAAAAAATGTGAAACGTTGTGGTACAACAGTGGCTATTAAATCATTTTGTTATACCAATTTAGACCAAAACGTGATATCATCAGAACCGATATCTTAGAACCGCTATCTGATCCATCAAAATGCTCAATATCGGAGCCGATATACGACACCAGTATCGTATCGGTGCATCCCTGATTCTAAGTGCCGCTCTTGTTATTATGGAGTTGCTGTGTTTGTGTCCTGAAAAAACAAAACGTCCAGTGAACGTGAGATATGTGACTAAAAACACAAACTGATAAAAGTTAAATTAGATGAAATAAAAACGGTAAAAAGGCATCTTCTTGAAGTGAAAACGTGTTAACACTGTGATAAACTGAATGTAGTGTTTCTGAGTGACGCTGCAGCATTAAACTGTGTCAGGCCAATGTGTAACTATATGAAAACAGTCCTGTGGCACAAACATGGGTCTGAGCACTGCATTATTCTCTGCATTATTAATATCCACAGTTCACAAAGTTAATGCAAATGGCTGCAGACTTTCCTAAAGCTGGAAGAACATTTCCTCCCAAAGTGAATTATTTCCACAGCTGTTTATCGCGCGGCTGCTGCCAACGCGGAGAACAAGAAAACTCCATTCTGAACATGAACAAAAACTTGTAAACATTAGTTGTCAATATGATAAACAGGCGTCACACAGGGAGGCCCCCGTGTTATCAAGTCTGCTCATACGCGTTAGTGTTTTGTGTTTGACTCTGCACCTGGAGCCTGGTGTCTGACATGCAGAGTCTGATGGGGTTGGAGTTATGCACAAGAGAAAACTAATGAGATTCCGGGCTCTCTCATGTGAATACGGAACTGTGTTTATCTAGTAAAAGCAAACAAACTGAATAAATACATAATATGCGTGGCCGTAGTTGATGGTATCTTAATGACTCCGTACAGTCTGATAGAAGAGAACAAATGTGCCTTTCAGATCGAGCGTGGTTCATTTCAATGCAGTTTGAGAAAAATAAAGGCAACTTCAGCGAAAAAAAAAAAACATCCTAAAATCGTGAAATTGTAACTGGACACCGGCCTCCAGCGTCGAAGTTCTGCATCCGTCTCTAAAAGGTCAAAAGTGGATGCTGAGTCGGACCTGCAAAAACAACTATACACAGAAGCAGAAGAAGTTTTTTTTGTTTTGTTTTTTACAAAGGCTGTACATCAGCAGGACTTCACTGCATTCTTCCCTTTAGATTTTCTTTAAACATTCTCCCAGAGTCCCCCGCGGTCCAGAGGCTTCACAAACTCCCACTGAGTGATAGAGGAAGGAAAAGGCCAAACTGCAAAGTGATTAAACAGTGGTGCCTTCGAACGGTGGACATGTAAACAACACGTCCCGCCGAACTGAGCTGCAGCCCTGGAGTCGAAAAAAGGAGCCGGAACATTCAGTGCTGCAGGTGTGAGGGGAGCAGGGGGCCGTGAGGGGGGCGGGGCTGTGCGGAGGAGGGGGAGGAGGAGGAGGAGTTCACTGCGTGTTAAATCTGTAATGTCTGCGTTCTTAGGTCCAGTTGAGGTTGAATCCTTTCGAGAGCATCACCTCCTCCAGGTCCTTGTCCTCCTCTTTCTCTCGGAGACGCTGCTCTTCCAGGAGGGCCACCAGAGAGTCCCTCTGCTCCACCACCTCCAACATCTCGTTCAGGATCTGCTTCTCCTGCGCCAGCTCCTGTTCTGTTTTCAAGTTGTCTGAAAGGCACAGAACGGACATTTAAAAGGTCCAATATTACGCAAAATTGACTCTTGTGACTCTTCTTCATTATTTGTCTCTAAAACATTTAATTTTTATTTTTATTTTTGATTTTGTGTTTAAACGAGTAATGGAAAAAACAGATAATGGTTTCCCGTTTTATCCAATTTTGACCATGGATATATAATAAGAACTGGAGATGCTGAAATTTTGTGCTGCATATGGACTGAACCAGGACTGATCCAAGGATCCAGGTCTAAACCGGGTCTAAACCGGGTCTAAATGTCGAAATCGGGTCTAAACCGGGTCTAAACCAGGACTACATCAGGTCTAAAACAGGTCTAAACCAGGTCTAAACCAGGTCTAAACCAGGTTTAAACCGGGACTACATCAGGTCTAAACCAGGTCTAAACCAGGTCTAAACCAGGTCTAAACCAGGACTACATCAGGTCTAAAACAGGTCTAAACCAGGTATAAACCAGGACTACATCAGGTCTAAACCAGGGCTATATCAGGTCTAAACCAGGTCTAAACCAGGTTTAAACCAGGTCTAAACCGGGACTACATCAGGTCTAAACCAGGTCTAAACCAGGTCTAAACCAGGACTACATCAGGTCTAAAACAGGCCTAAACCAGGTCTAAACCAGGACTACATCAGGTCTAAAACAGGTCTAAACCAGGTCTAAACCAGGACTAAACCAGGACTATATCAGGTCTAAACCAGGTCTAAACCAGGTCTAAACCAGGTCTAAACCAGGTCTAAACCAGGTCTAAACCAGGACTACATCAGGTCTAAAACAGGTCTAAACGAGGGCTATATCAGGTCTAAACCAAATCTAAACCAGGTCTAAACCAGGTCTAAACCAGGACTAAACCAGGACTTTATCAGGTCTAAACCAGGACTTTATCAGGTCTAAACCAGGTCTAAACCAGGTCTAAACCAGAACTAAACCAGGACTAATCCAGGACTAATCTTAGACTAATCTTGGACTTGGTGCAGGGTGTCCATAAAGTGCGATCGGGCGACGGCTGCGATTAGTCCCGTGGGGCGTGGAGCTCTGCACCAGTCCTTTCGCCTGCAATCACCCAGCAGTCTATGCATGAGCACCCCCGGGCCTGCCCCGACACTCAGTCCTGTTTTAGTCCTGGTTCAGTTTCTGGCTTAATCCGGCATCTCCTGTTTTTATTATAGATGCCTTGGTCAAAATTGGATGAAATGGGAAACGGCCGTTATCCGTTTTTTCCATTACTCATTTAAACACAAAATAAAAAATTGAAAAAATGAATCATTATCTGTTATTTCATTTTGGATTTGGAGACAAATAATGAGGAAAATAACTGTATTTTTTCCTTTTCTTATTTTGGTTTTAAGTTGAAAAATGATTTAACGAATGATTGAACGGATTTTTAAGGCACGTTATAATGTTGAAACCTCCTCAAAAACATACTTGGAATTGTGTTTTGTCATTTATGTTTTTCATTCACACATGTTTGAGTTACTCTTTATTGCTAATTTGTCTACATCTCCAAAGCTCAAAATGCTCTGTTCCACCTTGTGATGTCATGAAGCAGTAGTTTTTGAGTTAACAGCTTCTTTAAACTTTTATTCTGTAGAGATTGGCAATTCCAGAGCTGAGATTATCCAAATGATTCTAGTGAAGGTGCATGGAGTTTAAAAACACAGTGGAGCACTTCCTGTATTACCACATAACATCACAAGGTCGAGTGTTTTCTGTCTGAGAGAACATCTGAGACATGTGTGAATGAAACAAAACACAACTCCGGGTCTGTTTGTGAAGAGGAAACAACATTATAACAGACCAGATCAGAAAATGGTGCAATATGGACTCTTTAAATTGTAAATACGCGGTAAAAAGACGAGGCAGCGGGCTTCTCATCAGCATTCACACACTCACCTTCCACTGCCATCCTCTCCCTGAGTTCCTGCTGCAGTCGGCTCTGTCTGTCCTCCAGCTCCAGCTCTCTGGCACTGACACACACACAGACAGGTGCGTTTAAAGACACACACAGGCCACATTTATCTTACACATCCTTTTTAAATGATTCCTTCTTGTCCAAACCGCAAACATACCAACGCTCGGAAAAGGAGATGGTGTTTTATTGATACTTTGCAGCTAATATCATCAATATCTGAGGCTTTGTTAGACTTTAATCTGAGCTTTATTTTGACAAATTGATCAAAAATAACTGTTATCATATTTTTCGGACTATAAGTCGCTCTGGAGTATAAGTCGCACCAGCCAAAAAAAGCATAATGAAGAAGAAAAAGACATATATAAGTCACACTGGACTATAAGTTGCACTTTTTGGGGTAAATTTATTTTATGAAATCAGGGACCAGGAACTGACATTTCATCTTGAAAGTCAAGTTATAGTGATAACAATAGAACAGAAAACAACAAGCTGAAAAGGCGTCTGTACGATAACATAACATATCAACAATTATTCAGATAACTAGAGCATAAACAACAGAACATAAGTTTACCAAACTCTCAAGCACATATTTGTTTACGTTTTACAGAAACGAAACTTAAACCCACATGGCTAATTTGTATAAACTAAAGGCTCAAAAAACAGCTCGCTCCTTGTGCGCTGATACGGCTCAGCAAGACTCAGTGGAATATGAGTGTTCTTTCTGTGACAGAGGGGTGTTCTGCTGATGGTGAGTCTGGTCTGTGCTTCTATCGCATTTCAGATGGTTCATGTTAAACTTTTCAGAGATTATCCGTCTGCAGGTTGTACACGTAGACCTTTAGAACTATACTTCACTCTAACTGCAAAACCGCCTGAGACACTGGTCACATGACTAGGCTGGCATCATGTCATCAAAAACAAGCAAGTAGAGCATGTGGGCTTCTACCCTGTGTTTTTAAAGTTTCATTCATATGTTAATACGCCCTGTAATTAATCTCTGTGTTCCTTGACATGCTGTGTATGTTTTTGGACTTTGGAGTGTCAATGGTGAATGTATATGGGACAGATAAGGGGTGTATCTCCAACCTTTAGCATCTGCCAGTCTGTTATGGGACACGTGTTTGGACAAACTGCTGTGTATTTTTCCATGAAGATGTTAACTCAATAGTTATGCTGGTATAAAAGGCATCCAGTTTTTCTGTGCATCAGTGGGGGAACGCCGACCGCATTGTCGAGGGACGACCGACGCACAGAGAGACGCCGCGTAGGCAAAATCATGCTGGATCAACTTGAATCTTGAGACCTGAATCTGCCTGACTCAAATAAAGAGACTTTTCTAACTCTCCAAGTCTCTTTCTTAAGATCCTCTGTTCAGGCTGCCTCCAGGAGAAGCTGACAAGCACAGTTCAAGTTGCAGCAACCGATTTCGAACTGAGGAAGATGGCAAGTGTGAAAACAGTTTTTTTGTGGACCGTGTATTAGCGAGTAGTTCTAGCGCCGCTCTTTGTCTCTGGTTTGTTTACACTGTTTTCCGCAATAGCATCACATGATCGATTTCACAAACCCAGCGAATCAGGAAGGCGCAAATCACAGTGACGTGGAACTTCTAGAACTTCTACATCAGTGTATCAATGTTTTCAGGCGTCCACACGGTGTCGGATCAGATCTGTACTCAGATGAATTCATGGGAGCTGGCGGCACCAGATCATTCCGTCTCTGGAGCCGTTTTTCATCGGATTAGTGTGGACGAACACTGCATCCACAACGGAAACGACTCGAATACGTACCAGTGTGGACGGGGCCTTAGTGAATGACTGAAAAAAGTTGACTAATACTAACTCGCTTGTCATTGTGATGTTATTTGTGTGTGACTTGTTCAGCAGCACAATTGAGCTCACCTGCTGTCGTTCCAGCTCAGTCACTTCTTTATGGTCAGATTGTGTTAAAATAAAGCTCAGATTAAAGTCTAACAAAGCCTCAGACGGAGCAGTGCCACACCCAAACACAAGATGATGGCATCAGCTGCACATTTTCAATAAGTAATAAACAATAATAAAAATAGTTCTGCTCTATCCACATTTTAATACAGATACAATACAGAATGGCAATGTTATCTGGTTAAATACTGTTGTGCGTGGATATTTGCAATAAAAATAAAAGTCGGTGTTAGAAAAAGGCAAAATTCTATACTACACTTGCTCTAAATTTAATCGTAGCCCGGCCATCTGTCTGTGTGTGAAGTTGTTTGTGTTGGCGGTAAAGAGTCTTCTCCAAAAAAAACAATCAGTAGCAACAGGAGGCCGGACCTGCTCCAAAACTCCGGGGCTCGTCTCACGGAGGCAGGTGAAACGCACAAACTCAGCCAGAAAGTTTTCCCTCTACCACAGGGCTCAGGGCTGCCATTTACTGTGTGCGTGTGTGTGTGTGTGTTTATATGTGTGTGTGTGTGTGTGTTGGTGTGCGTCAAAACTAATCTTTGAGCAAAGCGCTGAAGGGTCAAACGCACAAATGTGAAAGCCCTGAGCGGTTTGGTCCCCGGTGACTTTTTAGCTCGTGTCGTTCGTATCCCATCCATTTCCTGTCAAATCCCATTCCCGTCTACTTTTGAAATTAAAAACACCGGACCTTTACAACTTTTACTTTTCTGCGTTACCTTGGCGATGTGACGATAAAACGTGTGATCTGATTAGTGCGGCCATCTCGGTGCGGTGTGGTGCAAGTGTAATATTGTGATTTTAACCAAGACATGATAAAGACTGACCAGTAGAAGAAGGGGGTGTGTCTATATTTGAGTTGATTGACAGATGGATTTAACCAATCACAGTTAAGCAAAAGAAGGAGTAATACAAAGCTAAACTGTAATGAAATCAGGATTGTGGGATGCACGGATATCTAGCTTTTTCAGTTCCAATACCAATTTTGATACTATAGTTGCTGATACTCAGGGTTCCCACGGTCATGGAAATCCTGGAAAAGTCTTTGAAATTGAAAATGTCACTGTCTAGGCCTGGAAAAGTCATGACATTTGGTAAATTCAATGTAAGTTTTGGAAAACTCATGGAATCTTAGTATATTTTTCACACAACCTACAGTGTTTCTGTTAAGTTCTCATGAAGCTATTATGATGATTTCTGAACGTTTGCGCCTTTTGTTTAAAAGAGACGACAATAAATGCACCGACAGTATTTAGAATTTTAAAAAAAACTATAATACCAAACCATAAGGTGAGTGGAAAGGGTTAAGGGTTCATATTTAGCTGTAAAAGTCTGATCAATTCTACACACGACATTCACTTTAGGTCATGAAAAAGTCATGGAAAACTTTTGAAATTTTGTGAACAAGTATGGGAACCCTGGATACGGATGGAGCAGAGACTGAAAACAGCATTTATTTCCTGTAAACAAAAATAAAATAAGACAAAACTATCCAAATGTGTTATATAGCTGTTGTTTATCTCTAAAGTAACCATAGAAGCAGATATCCAATCCAGAATATCAGTATCGTATCGGTGCATCCCTAACAATCATGATCTTGGCTTTAAAAAAATCGATATTTCTTGGCATATAGACCACCCCTGATTTGTGACATTCCGGGTACTTTTCGGACATATATTGTGATTTTGAGCTTTTTGTTTAATGCAGCTCTACTCTCAAAACATAATAAAGACTGACCAATAGGAGGAGTGGGTGTGTCTGCGTTTGAGTGACAGGCGGATTTAACCAATCACAGTTAAATGTGTTACTATACTACTATGCTGAGACCAAAGGTGGGACCAAGTCGTTGTTTTGAACGTCTCAAGTCTCAAGTCATTGACCTCAAGTCCAAGTCAAGTCCCAAGTCGAATACAGGAAAGTTCAAGTCGAGTCTCGAATCACTGGCCCATAAATCCAAGTCAAGTCCAAATTGTCATTGTACAAAAAGTCATTTCAAGTCTTTAAACCAAAAAGGTACCAAATACAGCTAGATTTTTGCTATTTATATGACTTTTAAAGTTGTGCTTAAATGATATATGATTATTTAAATTATTGTAACAGTTGTTGAAATGCAAATTTTTCTTTAATTGTCTTGAAAAGAATGTGAATTATTATGGTCAGAATAAAAAGAATTAAGATTAAAAGTGTTAAAGTTACTTTGTCATGTTGTCTGCACTGAAATGTAAGGATCATGTTCTCTGTAGTTCCCTTGATTTTACTGTATTGTACTGTATATTTCTATAGTACTTTTGAGGACACCACGTCACAGTACTTCAGTTACATCCAAAGTGACAGACAGAGAAGTGCGAGGAACATGTTCCAGTTTGTTACTGAAAAATTAAGCACTGCATGTATCAAGTGTAAAGAGAAAAGTATTTTATCAAGTCAAGTCTCAAGTCCTAAAAACACTGACTCAAGTGAGACTCGAGTCCAAGTCACGACCTGCAAGTCCCCACCTCTGGATGATACTAAAGCTGCTGATACCCGATACCAACCGATACCAGTGCAGAGATTGAAAACAGCAAAGAAACAAAACAAAAAAAATAAGACAAAACGATCCAAGCATGTCATGTAGCTGTTATTTATCTCTCAAATAACCGCTGAAGAACTTTGTGTAAATAAAAATTCAAGACTTTCTGGGCCAAGAAGTCTTATTACATCAGTTTATATGTCAAAATATGATATCGGCTGAACTGATATTTGGATTTTTTTTTTTCTTTCTGTATGAGTCCATCCCTAACAATCGTGATCTTGGCTCTAGAAAATCAAATTTGTGAAGTAAAAATGCATTCTGGGTACTTTTCTGACTTAATCGTAGCATATAGCCTTCATAAGCAAAGAAAATTACGGTAACACTTTACAATAACTACACCTTACTTAAGCCTTAATAAAGCATGAACAAAGACTTAATTAATAATGAACTGAGATTTAATTAATAATGATTCACGCTTAGTAAATGTTTATTAATAAAGCACAATTCGTCTTCAGTTTGGAAAAGCTCTCAAAAAGACTTAACTAACAGATAACAGCTGCCTGAATTACCATTGCATTGCATTATTAGTAAAGCATTCTCTCATAGTTTACTAATCATTAATAAATGCTCAAATGGTTAGTTCATGAGTAATTAAGTATGAAATAATTATGAGTAACTATTTACAGCACAAGCAAATTAAGTGCAAGTGCTAATTAAGGTAGTAATTAAGTAGTTACTAAGTGTGAATCATTATTAATTAAGTCTTTGTTCATTATTAGTTAAGCCTTTGTTCATGCTTTATTAAGGCTAAATAAGGTGTAGTTATTATAAAGTGTTACCAAAATTACATTTAAAAACACCTCTACTCCTCCTCTATATTAAAACTATATTTTATAACTAAAACAGTATCAAGACTGACAAAATGTTATAAGTGAAATTAATTTTTGAGTTATAGATGATCTTGGATTGAAGAAAATGTAATTCAAGATAATCCAAGTAATACTGAAACAATACAAATGTGTAAAAAAAAAAGACCAAATAAAGCTTTACTTACAATATCATGAGCTCAGATTCGTATCGGACCAGGGCGTTTTTCTCCTGGACCAGCTTGAACCACTCCTGCATGAGTTTGGGGTCGTCCTTCTTGCCCATTCCTGGGAGGAGAGGAGGTCAGAGGTCAGAGGTCAGAGGTCAGGACAGTGGCACGGCTCTTGGGTCTCTCTGATCCCAACCGGGCAGCTCAGTGACAGCCAAACCCCACGTCCTCGCCGAGGGACGGAGAGGCGGAGAAACGGACTAAGAGACACTCAGGTGGGCATATCGAGGGCGTGGCTATTGAGACTCTGCGCTGAAGTCACGCCGGGGGTGCTCTACGTGCGTCTCTATAGGGGAATGTTCGGTATTTACCATGGAGACACAGCGCGAAAACTGTCGAAAAGGCCGAAAAGTCAAGAAACGACGCATTTTCAGGAGCACAATAAAAGGAAAAAGCGGAAAAACTGAATTGAAAACTGAAAAGGGACTTGTTTAAGATCATCTCACTTGTTCTAGTCCAATCTGTGTGCCATTCGTTTATTCGTTTCTCAAAATGAAACCAAAAATAAGAAAATAAAAAAAAAAACAACTGTTTTCTTCATTATTTGTCTCCAAAACCGAAAATGAAAAAACGGATAATGATTAGTTTTTTCAGTTTTCGATTTTGTGTTTAAATGAAAAATGGAAAAACGGGTAACGGCTGTTTCCTGTTTTCTGCACTTAAACTGTGATGCCGGACTGAACCAGGACTAAATCAGGACTAAAACAGGACTAAACCATTTTCAGTCCCGGTCTGGCCCCGGTCTCAGTTCCGGTCTCAGTCCCGGTCTCAATCCCGGTTTGGTGCCGGTCTCAGTCCTGGTCTGGTGCTGGTCTCAGTCCCAGTCTCAGTCTCGGTCTGGTCCCGGTCTCAGTCCCGGTCTCGGTCCCGGTCTGGTCCCGGTCTCAGGTCTGGTCTCAGTCCCTGATCTCAGTCTCGGTCTGGTACTGGTTTTAGTCCCAGTCTCGGTCCCGGTCTCAGTCCTGGTCTGGTCCCAGTCTCACTCCCGGACTCAGTCCCGGTCTGGTTCCAGACCTGGTTCAGTCTTGGTTCAGTCCGACATCAAAGTTTAAGTCATGTAAACGGGAAACGATCTTTATCTGTTTTTTTTTTTTTCCATTTTTCATTTAAACATAAAATTGAAAACTGAAAAAATTAATCATTATCCGTTTTTTTTAATTTTGGTTTTGGAGACAAATAATGAAGAAAATAATTGTTGTTTCGTTTCCTTATTGTTGGTTTTATTTTGAAAAATGAATGAACAAATGATGCACAGATTTCGTCCCAACCAAGTCAGCTCTTTCTGGTCAGATTGTGTTCAAATACGTCTCGGGTTAAGTACACCTCGAGTAACAGAGCGTCTGGGGCCCAGGGAACCTTAATGACGTCAGCTGCAGAGTCTCAATAGACAGCTCCAAGCAAGCACACAGTCACACTCACAAACAAAGCTTCGGCGGAGCTTTGTGTTACCCAGTTTGGACTTGTGTACAAGTAAAATGAGCTTCAGGGCTGGTATTTTCTCAGCTGTTTTTTGGAGTTGATGGGCAGAACCAAGTGACATTTTGGCATTCATCCTCGCCGGCCTACATATCGTACATCAAGATTCAAAATAGACATTGTTTATCAATCCGTGTATCATTCGTTTATTTGCTTTTTAAAATAAAACCAAAAATAAGAAAACGAAAAAACAGCTGTTTTCTTCATTATTTGTCTCCGAAACCAAAACCAGTTTTTGATTTTGTGTTTAAATGAATAATGGAAAAAAACAGATAATGCCCGTTTCCCGTTTCCGTGACTTAAACTGCGATGGTGGACTGAACAAGTCTAAACCAGGACTAAACCAGGACTAAACCATGACGAAACCAGGACTAAACCATGTCTAAACCAGTCTCAGTTCCAGGTCTGGTCCCGGTCTGGTCCCGGTTTCAGTCCTCGGTCTCCCGGTCTCAGTCCTGGGTTCAATCACGGCCTGGTCCTGGTCTGGTCCCGGCCTCAGTCCTGGTCTCAGTCCAGGTCCTGTTCTTGGTCTTTGTCCCAGTCTCAGTTCCGGTCTCAGTCCAGGTCTGGTCCCGGCTTCCTGATCACCCAAGAGTCTATGCGGGTGCACCTCCGGGCCCATCCTGACCCTCCTGGTTCAGTCTTGGTTTAGTCCTCATTCAGTTCCAATTTAGTCCTGGTTTAGGACTGAGACCAGGACCAGACCAAGACTGAGACCGGGACCAGACCGGGACCAAAGCAGAACTGAGCCCAGGACTGAGACCGGTTTAGACCTGGTTTAGACCTGGTTTAGACCTGGTTTAGACCTGGTTTAGACCTGGTTTAGACCTGCTTTAGTCCTGGTTTAGACTTGGTTTAGTCCGTATGTGGCACAAAAGTCCGGCATCGCAGTTTAAATCACGGAAAAGGGAAACGGCCGTTATCTGTTTTTTCCATTTTGGTTTTGGAGACAAATAATGAAGAAATTAGTTGTTTTTTCGTTTTCTTATTTTTGGTTTTATACTGAAAAACAAATGAATGAACGATACACGGATTTTTATGCTTATGTATTTTTATCTCAAGGTTAAAATTCACGCAATGGAAAAAAAAAAAAAAAAAAAACTCCTATATTTTCTTTTATGTCATAGCCTCTTATAGAAACCAAGGTCACGCTCTTATTCTACAGTGGAACCAATTAAAAAGCCTATTTTTCTCTACTTTTTCACAGTCATAATGATATTTTTGATGTGGTAGACTGTTTCATTATGATTCTTTCAAAATTAAAAACACAGGAACCTCATAATTATAGAGCAATAGGACTTTTCTGGACCTCGCTTTGGTTCTGGAAGTAAATTTCCCATTCATTTTTCCCACAGACATTTCGAAAAATTAAAAAATTAAGAGTTCTAACCAGCTACGTGCGAATTGATCTTCATAACGTTGTTGCTTTAAAGCTGCATTGTGTAACTTTGCTGGTGGAGGGTTCCCCGCTTACTTGGAATGTTATTAACTGCCTGGAATGTTCCACAGTATGGCATTAAGTTTATCTATCTCCATGGAGACAAACGTGATGCCAGCAAAGTAAAATCGGAGGAGGTTTTTCAAGTTTTACAAAATATTTTAGTGTTATATGTAATTGAATAAAAGCAAGATGGATATGTTTACTTATTTTACACATTGTGGAACATTTAAAATAAATTTCTATGAAGACAAGCAGGGAGCGGATCCTCCAACTCAAAGTTACACAGTGCAGCTTTAAGTCCAAAAAGCTTTAATTTAAAATGGAAAATTCGCTGAAATGTTTTAATCACTTCGCGGTTTATAACATTTCAGAAACAGATTTAAAATAAAATTATAGGTCTCAAAGCACAAACAGTCACTTTTATTATAATAGGAAAACATAAAATAAACAATCTATTAAAATAAAGACTACCCAATTATTTTTTTATGTTGAATACTTCAGTTTGTAGCGGAGTCGTACTGTATTAACAACAGCGTTTGTATTGAGACACAAACATTTCTCTTTCTAAACACAGAAGTGTCCTCTGCTGAAATATTGATTTTTTTTCTGTGCTTTTTAACATGTTGTCAGTGACATCCACCCACAGCTCCCTGTTCACTGCTCTATCTTTAAAGATGCACTATGTAACTTTTTGGTAGGGGGTCCATCACCTGCTTGTTTCTACAGAGATGTTCTGCCTGAATTGTTTCACAGTATGACATTAAGCAGCTTTATGCTACTTTTTTTTTTATTACATGTGACTTTACAGCTCAATTAAATGGAAAAAAACAGGCATTCTGACTGTTAATGGGGTTGCCTCTCCACAGATCTGACCTGTAACTTCGTGGCCATACCAGCTTGTCAAAGCCTGATCCTATCAGATGTCAGAAGCTCAGCAAGGCCGGGCCTGGTTAGTACTTGGATGGGAGACACTGGGAAAAACAGGTGCCACAGGGGGCGCCAGTGGCAAAAACTGTCGCTGTGTCCTTAGGCAAGACACTTCACCCGCATTGTCTAGTATGAAAGTGGTGTGTTTGTGAGCGATGGTGGTGGTCGGAGGGGCCGATGGTGAAGATTGGCAGCCTCTCTTCTGTCAGTCTGCCCCAGGGCAGCTGTGGCTGCAATAGTAGTTTACCACCACTGAGAGTGGAATGAACGAACAATGAACTGTAAAACACTTTGGGTGTCTTGAAAGGCGTTATATAAATGAATGAATTAATTCATTAATTACCTTGGTTTCCATGAAGATAGAAAGATTAAATACCACACTGTGAAACATTCCAGATAAAGCAAAAACATCTCCCTGAAGAAAAGCATTTGATGGACCCTCCACCAGAAAAAGTTACACAATGCACCTTTAAATATTTATTAATTTCAGCACGACTCAGCAAAAAAACAAACAAAAAAAAACAACGCATAGCTACACAATTGGACAGAAAGTAGTGACGCAACAGTGTGGTAGCCGGTGGTACCATAAATCTGATTAGCCCTTACCAAACTTTCGAAATTTTAATTTTTTACTGAAGGTTCGAGAAAAAAAAGAATGGGAAATTTACTGAATTATAGAAGCCAAGGTTACGCTCTTATTCTACAATGTAATCAATTAGAAAGCATAGTGTTCTCTGCCTTTTCCCCCATTCACCACAGTCTGTGTGTAATGATATCCTCGACGTGGTGGGCTTTTGTGTTCCTCTTTTTCATTATCAGGCTGCAGCAGGTGGAGCTAAGGACTTTCACTGAAGCGCCAAAAGCCGGACCTCAACACGCCGTGACATACTTAGCCGGCGAAGAGGCGTTTCTCTAACAATACGAGAGGAACACAGAAGAAGAGTCGCAAATTGGCTGTGTTCTCCGGGGTCTGGCTTCTGCTTATTACACGGAGAGGTAAAAAGGGGGTAAGAGCCGGACTAAAATTGCGGAGGAAAATGGGAGGAGGAGGAAGATAACAAAATAAAGCACGGTCTCGCAATTTAACTTCCACCGCCACCAACCTTCAACCCAAGGCTCCAAACATAGGCCTGTCACCATGTTTGTTCTCAATTTTTTTGTTGACGATAAACAATAATAATGAAAAGAAGCTACCCGAGAATAACCCCAAAGCA